GCACATTCTACGCCGCATCTCTTTTTCTCACTTGCCGAACATTTTCGATCCCTGTACCTACGATTAAAGGACGAAATTCTGTGGACTCTACTTCAAACTGTATCTACAAGTTCACCTACAGCTGCGGTGACACCTATATAGGTAGAAGTAACAGAATGTTCCAATGTCGTCGAAAAGAACATATTCCAAAATGGCTAGTAAACCATATCGAAAATCCTAACGCGATTAATCTGAATAGAAATCCAGCATCATCCATTGCAAAACACTTATTAATGTCTGGTCACAAAATAAATATTAATGACTGTTTCACAATTATTTCACATAACTCTAATTCAAGGTTATTGAAGGTGATGGAAGCACTTTGGGTTAATCACATACAGCCTAAACTGTATATACAAAAATCAATAGACTTCAATCTTCGCCTACCCTGGACTGCATGACCTATCTGAATATGATTGGTCATTAGTATGTACTTTTGTTTTTATTTAACTGAGTAATTTTCATGAACTTTATTTTATCATTGTTAACCATGTTAGTTGTAAAGCGGTTGTAAAGAAACTACGAAATGACGATATCATCTCGCGAAATTTGTCTTCTTAATGCCTTATTCAAATTTCAGGTTGTTTTTTTTATTGTCAGCACTAATGCGGTGTTTGTAGTGGCAGTGGACAATGAGCTCTATTTACTAAGCATGCTCAAATTAAGTTATATGACTGGCTAAGCCTAGACACAATGGTTAGGACTCTCGCCAACCATGCACATGGTCCGGGGTTCGAGCCCCTGCCGACGCACACCTAATACCTATGGTCGGCCTGCGAATTTTGGGCTACCGATATCCACGCTGAAAATTTCATACTTGTACCAAAAATAAGGTGTGGAATCAAGCTGTAATCAAAAAAATAATAAAAATAGACAGATGTATAAGATATAAGCTTAGAGTGTACGATACACTAACGTATGTGTAAAACTTGGGCACTGTGATAGTAAGTATTTCCACATTAATTTGTTTATTAGATGTATCACACACACACACACACACACACACACAGCGAAACAGTATTATTATTCACTGGATGACATAGTTTCGAACAAAATTTATTATGGTTAATAATCATATCAATTACAATCACACCACATCGAAACTTGAGTTTTATAGTTTTCCTTGGTTCTCTCCTATCTGTCGTCGTTGGTGCAGGAGAATTTTTCAGATGTCCAACTGGACAGGTGCAGAATCATTCCTATTACGTATTGCCTCTCAGTTGCTCCGATAAATAAACCTTCCGTTATCAATCTCTCCCTACACTTACATACAAAGAAGGAAATTCGGAAACCACCTTACACAGAATTCCTAACATGGCAGAAATAAAAGTGGCTGACATTCAAACCAACCACAAACTCAATTAGGAACAAGCTTTGTCGGTTAAAGGATCATTCCTGTAGAGCCTTTAAAAACAGACCCATTTAGTTTATCTAATACCCTGCCTGCAATGGTTGTCAGGTCAAACACATAGGTCAATGTAGTAGAACAGGGGCAGTCAGTCAGTCAGACTAGCTGAACATAAAAACCTAGCGGCAGAATCTAGGTTGGTTAACCCAAATAAGATAAGAAATCTAGAGAATAGTTCAGCCGTAGACAGCATTACATGCAGTCACATACAACCATACAATAGGATGGATGGGATAAGATGACAGTTTTTAAAATCTAATGTTACAGCAGGGGGGAGGGAGAGAGACTGATAACAGAATCTTTGTGTATCGAATCAACTGAGAGAGAATACGTGTAATAGGAATGTCTCAACACCTGTCCAGTTGGATATCCGGGAAATTCTCCTACCCCTACGACGACAAACAGGAGAGAACAAAGAAAACTGTAAAACTCAAGTTTTGAAGTCGTGTGGTCATAATTGATATGATTATGAAAAATCAGTGAATTGTGTTCGAAACTATGTCATTCAGCAAATAATAATACTGTTTCACTGACTTAGTGTGTGATATATCCATCTAATAAACAAACTTATATGGAATATACGATAAACTGGTCAAAAACTGAATTTATCAACGAACAAACTAACTAACTGACTAACGGATTGAGTTTCAGCGCAGAAGTTTGCACAAAAGTGCACCAGTTCAAACTGCTACACTCCATATGTGCAGTACATAAAAAAGGTAGAGAAAACGAAGTAAAAAGGGATTCGTAACAACCATAATCAGCAGGAATGTAAGGAGAATGAATAGTGACATGAAAACCTGAAAGGATGAATGAGAACAGATATAGGGTCTACACAACCATGCTGGTGAATTAACTGACTGGTTTCAATATAGAACCTTGCACGGTGTGCACCAGTTCGAGTTGCCACACATCGTCCATGTCGCTCACAAACCAAGAGAAGAAAGTAAAAAGAAATGCAGAATAGAGATATGAAGCAAAAAGAATAGTGATTTCCAAAAACAATATAGTTTTATTGGAAATTATAAATCACAAGGAGTGGTTGCATCTGCTCAGGGCATTGAGAACGATTTTGAACCATATCACCGATTGTCTGCAGCGACCATTAGTGTTTACCGTCCTGAGGACCCCAATCAGACAGCAGTCTACACCTTCCTATGTGGTTTAGACTAACTGCTATGTATTTCGTTGATTGATGAAGTCATGTTGGTTTTGGTTTGACCACCACTGGCTCTTTTCCAACCTGACCCTATGTCAGCTAACATTGTCCGTTGGTCAAGGAAGGCGATGACTAGGATGCATGCATAACATATGTCCTAACCATCTCAGTCATTGTAGCTTCACAGCCTAGTCTAATGATTTCCCCGCTAGTGGACACACAGGTCATCGACCTAGGAGATTTGGAAAACCTTAGTTTCAAAACTTATAGTGTATTTCGGCTCCAGCAGCCGAAAGGATTGACAGGTGGATGAATTTGTTCAGCATATAAGTCAGTAATAGTCAGGTTGAATTGTAAACACACACACACACATAGACAGACATCGTATCATCAAAGGTGGTAGTGTTAGTCATAATATCGAAAATTTCTATTGATTTCAGTCACATGTAACATGCAACAGAAACTTGGCTTCAAGTAAACTGAGATTAACGAACCATAATGAATCATTTCACAAGTTAATAATGCTAAAATTAATCTATATCTCTACAAAGATGATTGAATTTATTGATGTATTATGGAATGTTGTTTCACGATTAATGAATATAATATAAATGACTGTCATTCAATACATTCAGAATGTCATTCAATTCTCAGTTCTCGTCGTATTTAATGAACGTGACACATCCACGTCACTTTTGTGGAAGTTAATCCCCTTTATAACAAATGCAAGAGTATTGCTCAGCATATTAGCTAAAAGTAAGTCTGCTAGCAACGGACCATTGGCTAGCGAACCCATTGGCTACTCACAATTTCTCTGTCTATAGACTTCATTGTTGAAAAACTATTGACCATTTAGGGTACGACGAAGTATGGGCTCTTTTAGCTATTGATGTATTGGACATTCCTACGCTTACATTATGTAATTATAAATGTAGCATATAGTTTCATTGAATAGAACTAGGGCACTGTGGTGGTACGTAATTCCATATTAGTTTGTTTGTTAGATGTATCACGCAGTCAGTGAAACAGTATTAGTATTTACTGGATGAAGAGGTTCTGAACTTAATTTATCGTTGTTCATAATTATTTCATCAATTATAATCACAAGACTTCAAAACTTGAGTTTTACAGTTTTCTTTGTTCTCTCCTGTTTGTCGTCGTAGGGGTAGGAGAATTTCCCGGATATCCAACTGGACAGGTGTTGAGACATTCCTATTACACGTATTCTCTCTCAGTTGATTCGATACACAAAGATTCTGTTATCAGTCTCTCTCCCTCCCCCCTGCTGTAACATTAGATTTTAAAAACTGTCATCTTATCCCATCCATCCTATTGTATGGTTGTATGTGACTGCATGTAATGCTGTCTACGGCTGAACTATTCTCTAGATTTCTTATCTTATTTGGGTTAACCAACCTAGATTCTGCCGCTAGGTTTTTATGTTCAGCTAGTCTGACTGACTGACTGCCCCTGTTCTACTAGTTTGACCTATGTGTTTGACCTGACAACCATTGCAGGCAGGGTATTAGATAAACTAAATGGGTCTGTTTTTAAAGGCTCTACAGGAATGATCCTTTAACCGACAAAGCTTGTTCCTAATTGAGTTTGTGGTTGGTTTGAATGTCAGCCACTTTTATTTCTGCCATGTTAGGAATTCTGTGTAAGGTGGTTTCCGAATTTCCTTCTTTGTATGTAAGTGTAGGGAGAGATTGATAACAGGAGCTTTGTTTATCGAAGCAACTACAAAAACGTGTAATAGGAATGACTTAACACCTGTCCAGCAGGATATCTGGGAAATTCTACTACCACGCCTATGACGACAAATTGGAGAGAACCAAGGAAAACTATAAAACTCAAGTTTCGAAGTCGTGTGATTATAATTGATATGATTCTGAACAATAATAAATTTTGTCCAGAACTTTGTCATCCAGTAAATAATACTGTTACACTGTGTGATATATCCAAACTAATATGGAATTACTTAATACCACAGTGCCCAAGTTTTACACATATAATAATTTGAAAAGATCTGTTTACAAAATGAATATATGAATCATTGGTTCATTGACTAGAGGTCAAAATAGGTGTAGCACACCACAAAAATAGAACAAAAAGGGGGATTCAAAACGATTATAATATGGAGTAGTAATATATATATGGGTGCGTCGGTGGCATAGAAGTAGAATGCTCACCAACCACGCCTCCTCTCTTTGTGTGCTACAAGGAGAGAGTGTGGCGAGTTGAACTGGTGCCTATCGATGCAAAGTTCTACGTTACAGCCAGCCAGTTAGTCATCTTGAGTTATTTATTTTCACAAAAAAGTTATCACACAAAAAGAAAGACAATAAATACTAACAAAAAATTAATTGCTTGAAATTATACTACTAATATTACCTTTGTTGATGTAAACACCAACAGATCGGTTCCTTTATCATTCCACAAAAGTCGGACTGTATCAGCACGGAAGAATGATTTACTCGCCACAGGTGTCAATTGATTATCAGCATAATGATAAACTCGAACAAATGACGGTTGATTCTATAGAATGAAGAGAAGAAAAATCAAAGCAACAATGGAAATAGAATAAAATTCCTAAATATGCATATATATGTATAGAATATTATTATTGCTTTCTTTAGTTCCTAGGGGAATAAAGGACTGCAGCCGCACGTCTTCATTGCATTCCCTTCTCCGCTTACCTTTCCACCTGGCTCCACGTCTACCCATATGCTTTCATCTCCTCTACACATCACCTCCTCCTCCTCAATGTCACCCTCGAACTGACGACCGACTCTCACCGCTTCCCATTCGGGTTCCACCTCCATTTCTTCCTACAAATTTGTTGCACAGTTGGTTTCTGCTGTGTTGGTTCGCTCTTGATGGAGGTGTGTAGTTTGTTCGAAGTGGCCTTCATGACGCGGCGCGGCAAGAAGTGTCTGATCCGTATAGTAGCACTGACTGACTTCACATTGCAGCTAAAAATCTGGATCTTGTTTTGCATGCTGAGTGTTGTTGACCTCTACAGAGACTTAAAAGAAATGAAAGCTTGACTTGATTTCCCAATCGTCGATTTGATATCTTCGTCAGTTCCGTCCGCCTGTAGTTGAAACGATGTTTCCCATGTTGGTAGATGGTAAAGGAGGTTGCCTCTTTCACATTTCTCCTATTTAAGCTGAATTTTTTGGTTGTTGCTGTTGGTCAGGAATCTTCATCACCTTTGTTTCCTTTATGTTCACCTGGAGGAAGTCCTATCTTCTCCGGATGTTTCTTCTGCCAACTTGTTGCTTTTAACTTGCATATCTTCCAGTTTGTGAGAAATCAGACATCTCTCATCGACGAAGTCTAGATCCTCCAAGTTTTTTGTGTGGGTCCATTTTATGCCTGTTTTCTCGCTGCCCGCCGCTATCTGTCGCATTATCCAGTCTACCGCAATCAGGAAAATCATTGAATATATATATATATATATATATATACATTTCATATCTTAATATAAAGTAACTATGAAAATGTCAAAGTCAGATGATGACGTCATAGCCAGAATCGATAAGGTAAAGAACGCCTTCATAACCCTGAAATCCTCCTGCACTCAGCCAGCATAAGGAATAAGTTTCGGATTTTCACCACGAGTGTTAAGTCAGTCACTCAGTCCTACTATATGAGTCAGAAACTTGACCAGCGTGTCATGAAAATAATTTCGAACAAGTTGTACACTTTTATATAAACGGATGCCTTTCTTGGCTCCATACTCAAGATCAAATAACTAGTGAGTAAGAATTAGCGACAAGAAACTACGTGGAACTAACTAACTAAGAACCTGTTGCTTAACATATATGTAGAAGAAAATAGAGATGGATTGGGCTTATGCTGATGTCGAATAATATTGCGCACGATGCAGGCCATCGCTACAACGGAACCCGAATGAGAAATAATGAATAGGTCTTCCGAAGGTGACATACAGAAGGTCGTGTTACTGAGAGAGAGATAAGAGTCTATAGGTTATTGTAGAAACAGCTAAAAACGACTGCAGGAGACAGGATAAAATGACGATGCTTTTTTGAAGCTCCATGTTCCACTAGAAACCTCAGAAGATAATAAATAAATAAGTGTAAGAGTCTGCAGTGTGATCACCCAAGGCAGGTGGTGATTATTCGCTATCATAATGCCTTTTGAAATGATGGTCATATGGCTACTTAGTTAACTGGAACAAATTTCCCAAGTACTAGGAGGTATGGGCCATACCAGACATGACAGGTCTGATGATACCACTCACAGGTAAACCAACAGTTTCAGACAAGTTTGCAACTCCACAGAGGGGAATAAAATCAGGACACCCCTTCGATAACTACTTTGCTATTTTGGTAGGACATACAAAATATAACAATTAAAGCTTATGATGTTTTTTCGAAGGTCCTGAAAACCCGCTATATAGAATTCACGAGTTTTTGAATATTCGACAGCCTGGATGAACAGCCTAAAGGTAATGGATTCAATCAATAATAGGATCACTGATGCATACTGCTGAAGAGTTCTAAACTCGAATGAAACAGCAATCCAGTGCCTTTTGTTTTTCTTTCCATAATTCTCTAAATTGATGTTTCAAAATTCCTACACAACCCCAAAATCAAAAAGGGGACGAAAATCAGTTAGGTAATTATTGAAAACTAGACAGTATTGCACAACTGTTGTCTTCTCTGACACAAGTTAAAAGAAGTGTCTGCGAGAAGCTATTACTTCTCGGCCACCCAACACACTGTGAAAGTTAATGTCTTCTTGAAATATCTTAAACAAAAGCACAATTAATGTTGCGTGACCATAAAGTCCATAGGGCGACTACTTGTGATCGACGACACGTGGCTTGTTTGAAGTGGCTTTAGGATCTTACCAAACGGTAAGATCTCTGGAGAGGCGCCGGGGTGTACTGTTCTCGTGGTCAACCTTTAAAAACCTTATCCATCCCAAAGTGTAGAGGGTGCATAGCTGATTTGTTTGTCATCAAAGGAGTACACCTTACTGCTGTGATATTCCCATTTTCAAAACAGTATGACATTTCTCCACAGACCTCCAATAGTGTAAACAACTGACAATATAGTGGTACCTACATTGAGTCTTATCTCTACCTAAACAAGTTTTGTGGTATAGTAGAACCTAAAGGAACATTAACTTTCCAGTCAATAGAGTTCGATGACTGAGTAAAAATGGCAGCTATAGGTAGGATCTCTTTCAGAGCCTTCTTTTAACAGTACACAACCTTGATAATAACAAAGATCAACACCTAGAACCTTCACATTTACTATGATATAAGCACATTATCATTCAAGCACACTGGATGAGAATCCTATCACATATATATTCCAACCTTCAATTACTACTTAGTTCAACGTTCACAAGTTTTTATTAGTTCGCTAATTGATTTCCAATCATGTCAAACCCTTTACTCTTATCATCAACATTAAATTAAATATTCATACGAACTGTGATCAAGATTTGACCGGATAGTTGCAAAATAATTGAACTAAATAAGCAAAAAGTACAAAAAGCTGAATCAAAGTCATATTATGAGTGCGTGTGATTAGTCGTCATGTATACACTCCTACTGTCACTGATGTGCAGTGAACATTTCTTAGCGTGACGTTTTATTGCGCGAAAAACGCTCAAAGGATTAAAATTAATCACTTTCATCCTTTTAGAAAATAAATTAATTTGAGTCCACCTTGTAAGATGATAAAGTTTACTCTCTCTCTCTCTCTCATAAGATTTCATCATGAAATGATATCTGTTAAAAAACCATTGGAAATCACCACAGAACAACAACAGACAACAATCAACCAGCATAGATGGGAGGAACCTGAAAGAAACAAGCTCCTTCACCTACCTGGGAAGCATCGTTTCAACTACAGGCCGACGGAACTGACGAGGATATCAAAGCAAGACAAGCTTTCATTTCTCTCAAGTCTGTTGTGGAAGTCAACAACAGTCAGCATCAAAAATATGAGATCTGGATTTTCAACTCCAACTTGAAGTCAGTGCAGCTATACGGATCACAGACTTGGCCAGTGCGTCATAATCAGCATCTCAAACAAACTTCAGACCTTCATTAACAGTTGCCTTCGCTGAGTACTACTCAAGATCAGATGGCCGGAAAGGATCAGCAACAGGGATTTCTGGCAATGAGTCAACCAACCACGAAACCGATTATGAAACAAATAGGCAGGAAGAAATTGGGGGTGGATTGGCCATCAAGTGACATCACAAGTTAAGCCATCACTCGAGTGGAACCTGAAAGGAAAGCGGCAAGTTGGTCGTCCAAGGGTGACTTGGAAGAGGTCATGTGAAGAGGAGATGAAAGCGTGTGGGCAGACTTGAAGCCAGGTGGAAACTCTAGCAGAGAACCGAACGCAATGGAGACGCGTGGCTGAAGCCCTATATTCCTCTAGGAATTAAAAATAAAAATAATGATAGAATACTGGACAGCTGTTTCGCCCCACCTAGTTTCGGACTCTTCTTCATCAGTAAGCACGCACCATCAAGCTTCAAACACAGAACATGTCCGTTACAAGCCAAATGAGCTCATAGAACATTCAACCAATAGGAATCTGATTCAATAGTTCATCAACTCTAACTTCTTCAAATTCACGACGTAGCTCAACCACTAGCCAACGTTATCGGTGAATAGTTATCCTAACACCCGACTTGCTTGCTAACATGACCAGTGGGTTCGACTAACGTTAAGTGACTGACTAATTGGTTTCAACATAGAATTTACAAAGATATGTACCAGTTCAACTCGTCACTCTCACTCAATGTGCGTCGGTGGCACAATGGTTAGGATCCTCGCCTACCATGCACATGGTCCGGGGTTCGAGCCCACGCCGACGCACACCCGATATCTATGGTCAGCCTGCGAATTTTGGGCTACCGATATCACATGCTGAAAATTCCATACGTGTACCAAAAATACGGTGTGGAATTAAGCTGTAATCAAAAATAAACAGAAGTGTAAATGACGGAAAAAGAATGATAGTAATATGGAAGAATAACCGAGCCTAATTGGATGTGACAAATCATCACAAAGAATGAAGAATGCATCTACGCCATCCATCAATGAGAAAGATGATAGTGAGCCAGCCACATTAACACCAATTATCCCAAGTCTTCAACTGTTCTTGCCACCAACCGGTGGACTCGAACCACCAGCCAGCCAAACTGCCTGGATATGACTGCCTGATGAAGTCATTTTGGTTTTGGTTTGAACATCACTAGTTCTTTTGCAACCTCATCGATCCTAATTCAGCTAATATTCCCCGTCGATCGAGGAAGGCGATTAGCAGCTATTCTCATGCGTAACACATGTCCTAACCATCTCAATCGACATAACTTTCCCAGCTTAACTAACACTCGACATATGCCTAACCTCAATATTGCTCACCTTATTATACCACGTCACACGAGAGATAGAGCACAAGCACCTATGATCAAAGACAGCTAATCTTTTCATGTCTTCCACATTGTCAACAGCCATAAAGGAGGATTGAACGAAC